TCTTAGGACGGAGATTCAGACGATCCCACCACAGCCACCCAGGGACATCTTAGGACGGAGATTCAGACGATCCCACCATACCTACCCAGGGACGTCTTAGGACGCGGAGATTCAGATGATCCCACCATACCCACTCAGGGACGTCTTAGGGACGCAGAGATTCAGAAGATCCCACCACAGCCACCCAGAGACGTCTTAGGGACGCAGAGATTCACACGATCCCACCATACCCACCCAGGGACATCTTAGGACGCAGAGGCTCCTGTCTGTGAAGCCTCCTCAGTGCAGAACTCGGAGAGCCTGCGGTGGACACTGTCTTGCGCCCAGGAAGGTACGAGGAACAGGCGCCGTGGGGCGGGGTGCAGCCAGACTCCTGACCTGGGGACGCAGGAGCGTCCCTGGGAGCGCGAGTGCTTCAGCATGTGAAGTCCACCCTGCCTAAGCCGCTGCAATCTCGAAGGACGGCCGACACACGGTTAAGCAACTTTAGGACCAGAGCGACCTCAGAGCACGGCCCCCACTACCCTGGAACCCGGCCTCTGACCTGTCCACCGATTTCCAGCTCGCTCAGCTCCCGCCTGGCCGGCTGCTGCTCTCCTGCACCCTCCATTTTACCTTTATCTATCTTTAAGAGGTTTGTGCCTTATGGCACATGGGCTTGCCAGAGAGAGACAGAGACAGTGCAAGGGAGAGGGAGCAATCACCCCCTGAGGGGGACGGCCATGCCGCAACTCCTTCTCTTCCGTTCTCCTCCCAGGACTTGGGCACACATGTACATGTGTACACATGCACAGTGTCATTTTCAAGTCACCGGGTCTGGGCCATGAACCACGACTGGCCACGTGAGAGTCCAGCGACACCATCTGCCGGCCCTCCGCCCCTTCGTTTTAAATCTCCACCCTCTTCTCCCCTTGCCCAGCTCCCGAGTTGATCTGATTTCTGGCACAAATCTCATTTTCTCATCTCGCGTGGGGGACGTGGCCCGTGGCAGGGCTTTGCTGCTGCTGCGGCCAGTGGCTGGGCTCTGGTCCTCTCCCACTCCATCCCGTGTCCCTTCCCCGGTCTCCACTCTGATCCCACATGCGGGATTCCTGCCTGGGGTCACCCCCCTACTTCTCCAGATGCCACGCCCTTCCCTGCCTCCTCGCCACACGACTTACTCTCGGATGCCTTCCAGCAGTTTGAAGTTCAGGTTATCCTCGCTTCTGTCGAAGAAGCCCTTGTTGTCTATGAAGACCAAGTGCCTCGGGTCGTGCTTCCGCTGAACGATGTGAGCCAGAGGCACGGAGTCCTGGTGCTCACAGCGGGGCCCCCGTCCCTCCTGCGCACAGGTGTCCTCCTTGCGAGGCCGGAAGCCGCAGCAGTTCGCGTCCAGGCGGTTGTAGATCTGAAAACGGAAAGCAAAAATGAGATCCAGATGTGTGAAAGCAAAATTTGGGAAAGTGAGAGGATTCCCAGAGAACACGCCTGGACCGTGACACGCCAGCAGCCAGCCGAAAGCAGCTACTGGAGAAAGCCCAGGTTCACGGCCAACCTCCGACTCGGCCTTGGCTAGAGCTCCAGCCACAGCTAAGAGCGCCACGCTCAGATTGTCCAAGCCAAGCATTCTCACCCCGAGTCCGACTTCCCACTGACACCGCAGACACAGCTGGTGGAGCCTGAACCCCCCATGGAGAGACGCCGTGTGCCCCCGCTCGGCTGGCTCAGGGAATCTGAGCTGACTCGCCCACTCTGGACGTCCAGGCTCTCACCTCTCCAGACTTCAGTATTACAGCATTTAACCCCGGCCAACTTAGGAGAAATTGATGACGAGAGATGAGGTCCAGAAACCAGAACCAAACAGGAACAATAGCTCAGCAGCTAGGCACTGTGCAGAGGGAGCCAGGTCCCACACAGCCAACCACAGTTCAAGTCCCAGCCCAGGGGCTTGGAAACCATGCCCAGGATCATGGAGGGAAGGGGCGTGTGATGTGACCAGGCCCCACTGGAGGTGCTTCCTCCCCCACCGCTCTCTTTTTCTCAGATGTGCACACATGCACCCCTGGCCAAAAGTGAAAACTAGGCGGGCAGAGGTCACAGCTACATTCTGAGTAAGTGAGCAGAATGAACACCCCACTCCTGGGGCTTGTTATGTGGAACGGGGTTACTGCCAGGAGAAAAGGGAGCTCCGCACCAGCCAGCACTGTGAGAGCAGAGGCCACGAGGCAGCCACGAGGGCAGCCACGAGGCAGCCACGAGGGCAGCCACGAGGGCAGCTGGCAGTCCATGTTCCATGGAGTGTGGAGAACGCTGGCCACTGGACATGGGGCCAGTCTGTGACCAAAGTGCCAAGAACAACTTGGACAGGAGAGGCTGTGGCCAGCTGACCTATGGGGCCCAAGTCTGACCAATGGTATTTTTTTTTTTTTGGAGAGGTTTTTGCTATAGGGCACATGCACTCGCCAGACAGACAGAGACAGAGAGACAGAAGGCGAGAAATCACCCCCCAGGGGGGATGGTCACACCGCAATCCCTTCTTCATTCTCCTCTCCCAGCATGAGGTTTAAGCCACCGGGTCCAGGACGCGAACCGCAGTTGACTACGTAAGAGTCCAGCGACATAGTCATTACGCCAACTGCTGGTCCCCACCAATGGTTTTTTTAAAAGTCCCACAGGCTGACTCCAGTGGTGGTGAGAGACCACTCGTTAAAGAGTCAAATTTGACCCAATTAGGGACGGTTTCCCAAGGGCGAGCAAGAGTGTCCCAGGCCAGCCCTAAATCGGATGGAGGGGCACATGGGATAAAGAGCATAGATTGGAGACTATCAGGAAAAGTATTAGGAAAAAAGGCTTCTCTCCATTTTGTTTATTCAGTCCATGTAGTCCCTTCCCTGCCTTTGATACAAAAGAAATCAAATCACGTAAGAGAGATTGTGTGTGGTCACCACAGGGTTACGATCAGAGAGGACAAGGAGAGAGACTGTTCTAGAAGGTGCTTCCCATCCCCCCTCCTTTATATGTACATTATATATGTGCATAACATATACATCATATATAATACACACCTCACACGAAACACATGCGTCGTATATAATACACACCTCACACGAAACACGCGTGTCGTATATAATACACCTCACACGAAACACGCGCGTCGTATATAATACACACCTCACAAGAAACACGAGCGTCGTATATAATACACACCTCACACGAAACACGCGCGTCGTATATAATACACACCTCATACGAAACACACGCGTCGTATATAATACACACCTTACAAGAAACACGCGCGTCGTATATAACACACACCTCACACGAAACACGCCCGTCGTATATAATATATACCTCATATGAAACACACGCGTCATATATAACACACACCTCACACGAAACACACGCATCGTATATAATACACACCTCATACAAACACGCGCGTCGTATATAACATACACCTCACACGAAACATGCGCGTCATATATAATACACACCTCACATGAAACACGCACATCATATATAATACACACCTCACACGAAACACACGCGTCATATATAATATACACCTCATATGAAACACACGTGTCTTATATAATACACACCTCACACAAAACACGCACGTCATATATAATATACACCTCACACGAAACACGCACGTCGTATATAATACACACCTCATACGAATCACGCGCGTCATATATAATACACACCTCACACGAAACACACGCGTCATATATAATACACACCTCACACGAAACACGCACGTCATATATAATACACACCTCGTATAAAACATATACATCATATTAATATATACCTCATATAAAACACACACATCATATATAATATATACCTCATATAAAACATACATCACACACATGCACACCGTACCCACCAGCTAGCGTGTTATATACATAACGTGCGTCTCACAGACATCACGCGCACGCACACCGTACCCACCAGCTAGCGTGTTATATATAACATGCGTCACACAGACATCACGCGCACACACACCGTACCCACCAGCTAGCCGTGTTCAGAAAATCTCTGCAGCACTCTTGCGTCAGCATCGTGAGTTTACGTCCAGTTAGAGGAAAAAGCTAAACCTAGCTTCATGTTTACCCCATCGGCCTCTGGGACAGCGCACAGATGCTCACCAGCTAGCCCACAGGCTCCATGGCACAGGGCTAGTGAGCTGCCAAAGAAAAGCCGGACCCCACGCAGGGACCACGGCTCAACGCCCCTGTCGGTCAGCCAGACGTGTGCGGGCATGCTCGCGATGGCCAGGTTCTGGCAGGCAGAGGACGGGGGCCACAGCAGACCTGAGCCCGGGAGGGTGTGCCCAGTCTCTTCTCACTTTAAGGAGCACACACACTCTGCCATGAATAAAAAGAAGACAGAGAAGAATTGAAGCTCCCGGACACATCTGCCAACTGTTTCTTCAATGCAGCTCTGAACCCTGAGCTCCTGCACTGTTAACTTCATGGCACGGCCGTGGGTAAGGACTAAGACACGTGGTCTCCACCGCACAGCCACGACACCGGTGTGACTGAGAGCCCTTCAGCCTACTGCCCGCCGGTAACTCGGGGAGTATGCTGTTTCTGTTTTCAAACTGCATGAAAACATGAAAAAGATTACAAACCAGAGGTGGAGAGGGGCTGACCGAGGTCTCTTCATCGCCTTCCCACCGCGAGGCTGTCTCCCACGTGTCGCTCTAATGCTTTGTCTGATCTCATTGTGAAGCGCTCCTTGTCAGGGACGTCTCGCCACCGCCGCCAAGTCTGCGGCACTCACAGCAGAGACTCTGAGCGCTCAGGCCCGCTTTGCTTCTAGAAAACACTCGAACTTGCAGGGTTCACGCATGCTGAGTACCGCGCACCCCTGTGGGTGTCGAATCAGATCACAAGGCCTTAACGATCTGAGCTTTATGTTGCTTTTATTATCCTCCAGGAGTCATAAATTACTCTTGTTTAGCAAAGGCTTATGTTCCTCTTAAACCGTGTTCTCCACCTCATCCCAGAATTTAGTCCATAATCTTGCTTTTGAATTCAGTCAATTTACCAAGACTAGTTGGGTCATAGACCACATCCGCTCCCTTAAATTCTGTGCCATTGCTCGCTCATCAATTTAGTCACATACTGAACATATTCCTGCTAACTTTTAAGACAGCTTACCGACCTTTTAAAGCCTAGTAAAGCATGTCCTACGTAGCTATGAATCCATAATACGATTCTAACACTCTTGTCTAGTGCGCACATTAAAACTCCATTTCATTTAACTCTTGCGTGACTAAGCACCGTAGCTGACGTTTGCACGTCTGCGTTCTTAGGTGATTACCCTAGAAAGAAGGCTATTTGGGGCTAAATGCTGTCAATTAAGCAATCGTAGTTGTTCATCATCAAGCACCTTGTTCAGACTCATTTCTTCTTCTTTAAAACAAGATAAATCTTTTGCAAAACTGGTCTTCTGCATCTAAAAATACTGCCAGCCACCATTTTCCATTTTTTTTTCTTTCCTCTTTTAGGAATATATGTCTTTTCAATGTTTACCTAACTAAAATTACAACCAAAAAATTCCAGGTGTTCCAGCCAATTTTTTTTTTTTTGGTGGTGGATATTTTTAGATATATTTCCTTCTTTTAAAGATTTTTTTTAAGTTCTGTTTTTCTTTGGTAGTGTTAGTTTTGTCTGTAGAAAAAGTATCTTTTTTTTAAAGAAGTATTTTATTTAACTTTATTTATTTATTTATTTATTTATTTAACCAGAGAGGGATGGGGCAGTGGGGAAGAGTGAGAAAGCAAACTGCCAGATCCGGGACTCGAACCACAGTTGGCCAGTGCCCCTAACCACCACGCAGCCTGCCAGTCCTGGAGAAGTATCTTATATGTGACTTGTGTGCTTGCACTGCCTGAATGAGGTGCCTGTACTATGCTGTCTTACTCCCTGAGGCTCAGTAAGCAGCTGCATGGGACCAGACAGTGGCACCCAGGTAGCACAACGCTCTGCAAAGCCAGCTCGCACGAGGAGATTGCAGCTTCGCATCTGGAGACCACCCCAAAGACATGGGTGTGCACATGCCTGTGACCAGGCTGGCTGAGGCTGAGCACAGAGACCCTGTGCGGCCCCTCCCACCATCTCTCTTGCTCATAGAGAAAGAAGAGAGAAAGAGAGAGAGAGAGAAAGAGAGAGAGAAAGAGGAAGGAAGGGATGAAGGGGGAAGGGAAGGGAAGGGGACAAAATGGACGAACAGTTGCTCATGTGCAAGATCTAATATGCGGCCCTCCCCAGCACTGGCGGACTAAGGGGGGGGGGCTGTCATCTGATAGGTGTGCATCAGTCCCCAAGGTCCCAGGAAGAGCCACCCAGACAAGGCCCCTGCTGCCCTGGCCCTTGTTAACAGAGACATGGC